GGGGGGGGGGGGCAGGAGCTCCAACAAGCCGTTTAGGACAGTGAGTGAATACACATACTATACAGAGATGCTGTATGAGAAACCAATGTGAGTTTGGAAAATTGCACAATATAAATCTGTTCTAGTATACCTCAACAATGGAATTATGAGCAGTAGAAATGGCCATGTCATGGGACCTTTAAATATATTGAGACCAAGGTAACATAATCTTGGTTTTACCAACATTATTTTACATTTTTCTTACCAAGAGCCTTTAGGTCCCATGTAGACAAATCGGTAGTCATCCACTTCAAGTGTATCCCAGTATTCATTCAGCCAGTCAGAAGAAAAGAAGACTGGTGTGCTGTAAACATTATGCTCTGGATAGTCCCTGTAGAACCACAATAATAGTTTCATACAGTAAAGTATTTAGAAAAATGTGCTTTACAAATATGTGTGTTATCTGTATCAATTCATACCTTGCCATGTGCCAGTCTTTCAGATAGAGACATCCTTTAGGTGAGGAGTGGCCATTCTTGATGTATTCCTTCCAGTAGTGTATAAATTCTTTGAAAGGCATTACTTGTTTAGGGTTTGCATTGTACTCCTTTGCATTGCAGTTTGCAACAGGAACAGGAGTCTCATCTGAAACAAGCAACAAACACATTATTAAATAACACTGCATGACAGCATCCAAAGCAAAAGCTGCATCATGATACATAGTAGTTTGTTAATATCATAAGTAATAGGGCTATATACCAAACTCTTGCAGCAGTTTCTGGAAATTCGGCTTCCCTTCCTCAGACACCCATTGTTTTCTACACTTCCAGTCCTCTGTAAACCTTCGTGAAAACATGCATGGGTGATTGGGAAGCAAGTACTTCTTAAAAAACTTAGAATAGCTCAGATCCTTGTCGATGTAGTCTACAAAATGTGAAGACCAGAACTGTTCGTAAGACGGTCTTGGTATTTTTACCAGGCTGCAGCAGTTACGGTACGCGTCCCTGTCCATCATGGTAAACAAGAACTGTGCTAGCCTGTTAGCTAAGCGGTCAGCGTTTGGACAGCAAACGACGGTAAGGAAAAGCTAACCGGTCGATTTATTTTACATTCACTGTTACATAACGTACGCCTTTTCAATTCTACTGTCAATCTTGGGCTATATCATGCTAGAAAAAAACATAATGCTAAAATTATTTGAAAACATGTCGCTGAATATGACCCCATCCCGAAAATAGCAACGTAAGGTTCCCGAAATACACACAGCATATAGAATATATTTGTTTCTATTTATTTTAAAGATTAAACTGTATGCTATTTTAGCTTATTCAGAAACCGCCGTCTTAGTTAAAAATAATTATGTTTTACAAAACCTTGTCGCGATAGCCTTTTGACAGCAGAATATTCAAGTCGGACAGTAAATACAGCCGTGCCTCTGAGTGACGTCACTTCCGTAATAAACAGCTTTACAGAGAGGAGTGTAGGGTAACACTGCTCAGGACAACAAGGTGATGTTGTCGATTAATGTCTTGTTAGACGGATATAATGGTCCAAGAGGAAGTGATAAATGCTAAGAGGGTTTATAACATTTTAATGACGCAATCGTAAAGGCCGTTTCTTATGAAGATGTCAGGGTAAACGCCTCAGCTCATCTGCTTCTTGGATTCCTTATTATTACACCCTGAGGTACGTGTGTGTGTTTACTATCAGGACAATTGAAGACATAACTAAAAACAATGTCTTCATAATGTAATTGACAGCAAAGATGTGTGCATTAGCAGTGGTGTAAAGTAACTTAGTGGTTAAGTAATGTTCTTAAGTACAATTGCGAGGTAATTGTATTTCAATTGTCTGCTAATTTTTGCTTCTACTCCACTACAATTCAAAGGTAAATCGTGTACTTTTACTCCACTATATTTATGTGATGTCTTTAGGTACTTTGTAGATTCGGGTTAATGATGTGAAATATAATCAACACTTAAATAAGACTTTTTCACAAATGTACAAGCTACCCTGCAGAATACAAAGTATTTAAAACTACCTGCACACTTTGATGCCTCAATATGTATAATCAAAACATATGATATATATTATTATTCTGTAAATGGCCGATCTGCATAATGAGTACTTTTGTTACTGTAAGTATATTTTGAAGCCAATACCTTTTATACTGAGTACCATTTTGATTGCTGGACTTTTACTTGTAACAGAGTATTCCTACACTCTGGTTCTTCATCATTTACTTAGGTATAAGATATTATTACTTTTTCCATATCTCTGCGTAAGTGTAGTGCATATGCATATTTGTCGTTCTAGGTGAATCAGTGTAACTCCTTCCAAAATGAGCCGGGATGCTCCTATCCACAGCTGGCCTGGCTCCTATTACATCAACACTGAGAAGCGGTGGGAAACTGGCACCCTGTCCCTCACCAGGACCATGGTGCGCTTTGTCTCTAACCAGAGTAAGGAGAGTCTTACCAGCTTTCGCCTTTCCAGGATCATGGATATCAAGATGGAGTCATCCAGTTTCATCTTCAGCACTCTCACAGTGCTTGAAGAGGGCAATGTGAAACACTGGTTTGGTTCCCTTAAGCCTAACAGGGTGGTGGTTTATAACGTGTTAGAGCATTTTTGGAGGGAACGCCTCCTGTCCCCTGGCTCAGAGGCACGGGGGGCCGAATGCAAACCCTCTAAAGGCAGTGAGCTGATCAGCCTGGTGGCGGGGGCCCAGAGAAGATTGGAGGACTCCGGCAAAGTCCTCAGCCACCAAGGAGAGCAGTTTGACAATGCGATGCAGGGACTGGAGAAGATTGGCTCAGATCTGGGCGTGGCTGATAAGTAATTATCTCAACAAATTCCTGACTCAATGATATTATGCACTTTTCTATTTGGAAGTCTTGTTCATGTTTAATTTGTGTAGTGTGGACTGCTATCACTAAGTAGTTGCAATGCAAAACAAGCCTAATGTAATACTAAAGCAAGTCATAATCCCATGAATTGTCATTCCCTTTTTACTCGTTTGCAGACTTTTGTCAGAGCTGGAATCTCCCCCCTGGTGGCCATTTGGTAAACTCCCCTGGAAAACTCAGCAGGAAGCTAAGGTGGAGGACGCTGCAAGAGCTGCGTCCCGGTCAGCAGCTGGTAAAGGCTCTGGTAAAAATAAGGTAATCGCAAGCATCCCAGCTATAGTGACCAAAGGAGGGGACTCAGATTTAAAACCTGGATGCTTGTTGGTGCTGGTGTCCTCACTGGAGGTGCTAGACACAAACTGCCAACTCATTCACCGCTTTGAAAGAAATGACATTGACGAAGTTAGAGTGCACAGTCCGTATGAGATCACTGTAAGACAGCGGTTCATTGGGAAGCCGGATATATGCTACAGGTTCCTGTCTGCCAAGATGCCGGAGGCAATGTCGGTGTTAGAGATTCAATACAGAAAAAAAGTGGAGTTCACTAATGAATACACGGCTTTCAGAGCAACTCCAGTTTCATCTCCGTCTGACACAGAGGGGCAAACCTGGAATGAAGGTAAGGCATATTTTATATAAATAAATAATGTTCCACTGTTTCCACATCTAGCATGAAATTGACCACTAAGTGGCAGTAAAGCTCTATGTTTCCATTTCTAGCCAAATGTAAAAACATTTCATGCACATGACTTTTGGACACGGTTATTGGTGTCTTTCCTTGACAGAAATGTGTTTTGATGAGTCACTTTGTCCTGATTGCCACAGTTACTTTGAGTTTACTGTCTGGTTTTCTCATAAACTACATATGCACTCTGCACTTATTCACATTCTCCACCCATGGAGTCAGGTCTGCTACAGAGGTGCCAAGACACGGAGCTCCCACTAGAGGTCCCAGCAGGAGCGCTGTCCCAGCTGCAGGTGCACGTCCTCCAGCCATCTGTCAGTCAGTCTGAGGCCCAGGAACTGAAACAGGTGAGACCAGTGTTAATATATCATGTATACACCAAGGTCGCTTTTTTCATGTTTGTATTTATATGTATTTTAATAAACAACCCTATGGTTTTAGTGAAATGTATTTTGATTCCAACCTTCCATTCACTATAATGATTTTAAGTTTTCATCCTGTATGATTAAAATGTTATTTAGTGAGACCACAAACCAAAGTCCATCCTAGTTTTAAGAGTTGGAAAGAAACCTGTTCAGTTTTTGGTCAGACTTTACAACGTCTTTCCATTCAGAACTTCTCAACGCTGAGAAATGTTAGCGACATGGTCTGTGGTGGCAAAATGTAAACAGTGACGCATATTCAGAGCTATGATTCAGATATTTGTTTTGTGTGTGTGACACACTATTCCATATCCTAAATAGATATATACTGTAAAACATTTTAGTAATCTACTTTTGTTAAATTATGCTTAAATACAAACTGCAAGCAGCATTGAGAGGTTTGAATTAATTTTATGAAATGACACTGAGGCTCTAATTGTATATTTGCTGATTTTTATGTTATTTTAAATGCATAAAATATACATGTTCGGTAAATATACCTCAAATTAGTCATTTTTGCCCATCTTAAATTGTATCAAATTGCCCACACTGATTAAAACTTGTTAAATTATTGAATATCTCAAATCAAGCCTCTCAAAAGTTTCAAGGAAAGCAACAACTGGCTCCTAAGAGGGGACAACACCCTCTCCATAGGGCTTTAGAGATGTAGGGAATCACACACCCAGGACATTTTAATCCTTCCTTGTTGTAATTCACATCTAATTTCTGCTGATATTTGTTGCCAGACACTCTTGGTTCTTTTGAGACTTCTTTGCTCTCTAAACTGTTCTCATTGAGATGGATTTTGAGCAACTCTGAAACCTAGCTAAAGTGAATAACAAAAAACACATTTCTACTAGGTTACCTGCAGCATTGCAGATGTTGGTTCTAATTGTGCAAGAGAAAGAAGAAAGAGTGTGACTTCATTCTGTGTTTAGGACAACGTTACTCCCCTATATCTTACATAGCAAATAGATTTTTACGCTATATTAATGCTCTGAAGGCCATACCATAGAACCTTTTAAAGGAAGAAAGTTATCGTTTTGAAGATATTTGTAAGTACGGGTCTCCAAGATTTGGTTAGGAACTAGTTCTCAGGGTTCTTTCAGATCGGATAATATCTGGGCAATCAGTACCACGACAACTTTATACCTGTTATTGAATTAATTTGTGTTCACAATAACAATGTAAACTGTTTCACTGTTTTCTTTGTCTATATAATCATTGTTCAAACAAATGTATAATAGCAGTGACAGCAATAGGCCATTTATACAGGTTGGTTTATTGTGTTCATAAATGGCGCATTGTCTAGAGCTGATAATGGTTCAGACTTCAAAGGCTGCACATTTGAAGTTAATGCTATGCTTCTGTACACACCCTACTCTTATTGTAATTCATGTCGAGATTAAAATCTACAGTGGTGCAACTTGTTCGGAGGGTCACTGAGTTTAATTTCCTGCACTAAGTGCTTTAGCAAATATTCCCCTTTGTCCGATCATTTTATACCAGTATTATTGTTTGAGGTTGGAAATTCCTTCTTTAATATCAGCACAAACTCATTCGTAGATTTCGTGTACTGTATTTTCTATCAATTCAAAGTCCTTAAATTACCCCGCTCATCCACAAGACTAGCATTAAAGCTCATGTGCTTTTTCAGTTCTAGCCTAAATGTTTAATTTTAGGGCTTTCTACATGACTTAAATCCTCTCACCATTGTATAAGCAGTAGCTAAAAATATTCATTTTCTGTGTTTATGTATGACACAAAAAGTCCTGTGAATGTTAAATGCAAGTCGTGATTTAGTCATGTTCCCCCAGTTGAAATAGTAAAGTCACAGACCTGGGTGAGCGAATACATTTGCTCCTCTTTGTGTATTGACATACTATCTGTTTTTCAAACAGCTGTCTGGACTTGTTACTGTGCTCAGTTGCAATGACCGCGTGTACCGGCCAGTGAAAACTGACTTAATGTCGGTGGATGTGTGAGAGCATGTGTATAACATAATATTAGTTTAGAAACGATGGTGGTGGGGTTGGGAGTAGTGTTTATAAGGTTGTGCTTGGCACATCACCTTGTATTTAAGTTATTCCATCAACTATAACATACACAGTTTTTGGGCCATGGAGATGAAGTTGCATATTCCTTAAAATCACAGAGAGCAGAAAAACAAACTGTATTGTTTATAAATGATCCCAGGAGATTAGGCACCAAGATATTTGAATATGTTTGTAAGCTTTTTATTCTGCATAATATAACATAATATATCTGCAACATGAGTATCGGTTTGGTGTTGACTTCTCACCTGCAGACATTTAACAGTAGACTGTTGTCTTTGTAGCGAAAGTGATCCGAAATAAACTCTGAATCAAATGAAAGATTCCCTCTTATCTTCCCCATCTCTGTTTCACAAACACACTCATTCTCTAACTCACTAACGCAATCTGAATCTATACACCTCTCTTCTCTGAATGTTCCACCCTCCCCAATGTTCTGTGTGTGTGTGTTTGTGTTACTCGTGTTGTGGGGACACCGTTAATTTGACACTCACAATGTGGGGACTCGCCCATGCAAAAAAAGTCCTCATAACATAAATCCTTACGCTATAGGGAATTGGTTCAAGTTTAAGTTGAATTTAGGGGGTAAGGGTTATGATTAGACTGGTCAGCATGTTGGGGATAGGGTAAGTCTCCTGGAAAGGATTGTAAGACAAAGTCCTCTAAAGGGATGAAAACATGACTGTGTGTGTGTGTGTGTGTGTGTGTGTGTGTGTGTGTGTGTGTGTGTGTGTGTGTGTGTGTGTGTG